TGCGCGCGCGCGCGCGCGTGCGTGCGTGTGTGAGATAATATTCAGGATTCTTGTAATTAGCTCAGTTCTTGTTCTCTTACAATTCATTTTTAATTATAGTTGTAAACAAGGTGTTTTGAGAGATGGTATTTAATAAATTATATCCATGAAATATTTTAATACTGTGGAAGGATTTTAGGATATAAGAGGAAAGTACATTTTATCTGCCTATTCTATTAAATTATAGTTTTTAAATGTAGTCTCACTTTCTCTTTAGAACAGGGGTTCTTAACCTTTTCTGTGCCTGGATCCCTTTAGCAATCTGGTGAAGCCTATGGATCTCTTCTCAGAATAATTTTTTAACTTACAGGATAAAACACATAAGATTAAAAGGAAACCAATGGGCTGAAATACAGTTATTAAAATAGTTTTGAAGTGTGACACAATAATACATGTGCTTCTTTAGTAATGTATTAAATAAGAGGACCGAGTGGTGGACCTCATGACTGCCCTGATTTTGAAGTAGTAGTGAGAGTAAACAGTATTTTGAGCTGTCGGCAACAACTGTCATGCGAAACAAAAAAGACGTGATTTCTGTGGTGACAAAGTCACTGCTATCATTGATAATACTGTGATTTGTTGCCTCTGTTCCTAATGGAACGAGAATCTATGTTTCACTTAGAGGTTAGTGAAGTTGTTTGTTTTTGCTCATCCTAGGTTGCAGATCCCCTGAATTCTGCCCGTAGACATTACCACAAAGCCATTCTTTTTCCGATTCTCAGTATAGATTTGACTCAGATTCCCTGCAAGTAACCAAATGCTTCTGTTGCTGGGACTTGCCAAAGATCTAACAAGCTAACTCTTGCTAAAGAGTCTCCAAATCATGGGCTCACATCAGGCTATAACAGCCTATATGTTACTGAAGTAAGTAAAATCAAGCATTTATAAAAACAGGTGGACATACTTTATAAGTAATTTTAGAGAGGTGCTCATGGTTTGAGTTTTCTTCATTATTTAATTTTCCAAATTTACTATAATGCATCTTAGAATTTTTTTTAAAATATGCTTCAGGATACTTTAGAATGAGAAACATTACAGTTTTCCAGTCTGGTCCAGCCTACTTATTTTATGTACGAGGACACTGACACAAAGATATGCTACAGGGCGTGGCCAAAATCACATGCTTCTGGCTAGTCACCGTTGGACTAAGAGAGTAAGAATCTTCTCACTCCCAGGGGCTCCTGACCAAGCTACCTTGAGGATGGATGGCAGCAGTATGTCTTACAGCTTGACATTGATGTTTATCTTTGGTATTTAAGATAATTGGTACTTCATTTTACAAGTCAGGTTAATTTTAGGTTTGCTTCTTTTAAAATTTGAAACTTTGCTAAACAGGCTTATTGGTTAGACTTACTTTTCTTTGGATTCCATAGTTCTGTATGTGTTGCTAATATAATTGCATATTTAGGGAGGAAAGAAGAAATCTGGATAATACAAAGCATGATGTCCTCAAATTCAAAACACTGGACTTTGAACTGTACCTGTCCTAGACACTCCTTTCCTCTGCTCTCTGCCATCACCATTTCTCAGCACACAGTCCAGGAACCTGACTGGGTGTTGTTGAATTAAAAAGCCCCAGATTCCCACAGATGACTCATTTTAAGGAAAGGTTAACTACTTCTGAGTAGCTTTCTGCTTTAAGTTATTAATTACTCGTTACTTATGTAAACATGGGTGGTGAGGCCTACATAGTAGGAGCACATGGATAGAAAACTTAGACCTCTAACAAGATACAGTATTTGTTGGGTCCTCATTCTTATTTTCACTTAGGGTCCATGAGGCTGCTCTCTTGAAGAGAAGGTTTAATTAATTTTTATTAATCAACGATGCCACCTGGTGGCCACAAAGTACATTTTGTAGTGCCCATGCTTGCTGCACCAGCCTGTTTTCCTTTGATAGAAATAACCTCAGCAGCGTTTCAGGCATTTTTTATTAGTGAATTTTTGAAAAATGTTTTATTTAGTTTAGCAGAAGCAGAAAAGTCATAGAATACTATAAGTCTAATATGGCGATTTCAGTTGACCACTCTGCTCTCCTCCTCAGTTTTTTAAAAAACGAAGCTCTTGTAGGATACTAGGTGCTAAATGGTACACAATAAACAATTCCCGATGACCAATACAGGCGTGTCTGTCTGGTCTCTTTCCCCGGGTTTCACCTGAGTTCTAACAGTCACTGGGGCACCTGATAGTTTCACTGCTCCTCCCCTCTGACTCAGAGGGTGATCCATCATGTTCTTCTCATTCTGCAGTTAAGGCAATGAATGAGTCATTCTTAACTGAGGCATTGTCTTCCTTGGAAAAGTAAAAGTTCTCAAAAGTATGCACCACACAAGATACTCTGAAAATATGGACGGATGGATATGTTGGAAAGTTGAATTTCTAAAATTTAATTTTGAAAAATTGAATTTTAAGATTTTTTTTTAATTGGAAAGGAAAATAAACCTCACTCCATTACCTCCTTGATTAATAGCCTGATTTTGCAATGTCTTAGTGGTGGGAGCCAGTTTGTTTATTTCCACTCTGTTCCTGAAAGCTCAGGTTGGCGGGTAGCAGCTAAACTTGAATACAAGGAAAGGAAATGCAACTCAGACGCTTATCAGGTTCGGCACAGGGGTTCTGAGGTCAAGATTTCCTAATACGTACATCTTCCAGTGAGCTCTCTGGGTTTAGAGAAACGCCTCAGTTTGCATCGGTATACTTCCATATTAACGAACAAGAATTGAAGACAGAATAGGAATTTGGGATTAATCTGGTACTTAGGTAAATCTGCTTGCCTTTCCTTACTCTTCAGCTACCTAGAGGCTTTAAGGAGCATTGCTTTGATTAATGAGGTAGCCTGGACATTGAGAACATCGAAGAAGACAACTAAGTTTTTCCCCCCAACTCTGTCACTCTCACGGAAAAGTTAAATATTTGGACTCACCAAGCACGGCTCACATATGGAATACATTCTGAGTGGGGTCAGAGTGAGATTAGGTTAAGTTTTCACCTCCAGGTAAAGCTAAGTGGAATGTATAATCAGTGTATTTTGTTAATTTGTGTGGTTTTATTACCTATTGGATTGGAAGCAAACTCTCCAACTCCTGTGTTCACATTACTTTAAGCTCTAAATTGCTAGTGATGGTCTTTGACAAGACTGAAACTATGCTGTGTGCATGGAAGCCTCATGTCATCACATACAGTATCTCACTGGCTTCCTGCCAGGGCTGGATATTTATAATGTGCATGTCTAGACTCACACAGGTTCTTGGATCACGCTCTTGAAGATGTCCAGAGTTTCAGCACTTGGGTGTATGCATTTGTGTCATCTGTTAAGCTTGAAAAGCTGGCACTCACAACTAAGATGCTCTTTGTGCCTTTCAGCATGACTTCATAAATCCATGGGATGAAATGATATATTTCATAATATTGCTAAATGGAGATTGAGTCTGATAAAAAGGCATTCAGTCTCTTAATATGCCTTTCCGCATTTCATTGTCTCAACTCCCACTGGCATTAGGATTGGTTTCAGCCTTCATTACTTTTTATCTAAACTAAGACACAATCGTGTCTTAAAAAATCATTTATTTTTTTATTCTAAGCATTTCTCATCCCCTGTATGCAAAGGCACTGGCTCAGTGCTATGAGAGAGAGAAAGATGAATCAGACGTGGGTCCTGCCCACAAGGAGCTTTGAGTCAAATGAAAAAGAAAATGGTAGAAGGCATAAAGTGAGTAGCTGTCATGTAATGCGTCATTCAAAGGGAGAGACAATTTCTTTCAAATAAAAAGTTTGGTAGGAGAGGAGGAATTTGAGAGGAGCCTTGAAGAATATGAGAACTTTCATATGCAGAGACAGAGAAAGGATTCAGAAAAAAGGGAACATTAGGCACAAAGTATGGAGCCTGAGAACACATGGGAAGTGTTTAAGGAATTGTGCAGACTCAGACTTGGGTAAGAACAAAGGGCCTGTGTTAGGCGCTAGCAGGAGAGAAAATCAGAAAGTCAATAGGGACCATGTAGTGGGGGACTTTAAATTCCAGGGAACAGAATTTGTTTTAATTTGATAGGTAATAAGAAGCCATCCAACATTTCTCAACAGAGAAGAAAGTATTGCCTTGAAATCCTATGACATCCCTTGGTGTTAAAGATTTATTAACTAACCTATTTCCTCTTTTTTTTTTTCCCATGTTATAAGAACCCTATATACCACATTGCTCATTTATAGACCATGTTCACCTAGACCAGGCTTTTCCATTGTAACCCTATTGACATTTTGGGCCAGGTAATTCTTTGTTGTAGGGCTGTCATGTGCATTTGTAGATTGTTTAGCAGTATCCCTGGCCTCTACGCACTAGAGGCCAGTAGCCCCCCTCCATCCAGTTGTGACAGAAATATCTCCAGACATTTCTCCATAACCCCTAGGGGGAAATTCACCCCCATTTGATAATCATTGGTCTAGTGTATTGCGTTCCCTGTGGTGTTCTGGGCATTGTTAGACTCTTACATTGACAAATCTTAGAGTTCCTTAGGCATTCAATCTGTTAGTGCTTGGAATTTTGTACTAAATGTACATCTGATCTTGAGATTAAGGTATTTCACGTGTGTTCAAGTAAAAAGAGCTGAACTGGGCATCAAGAGACCTGGATTCTATTGTAGTTCTGGCCCTGCCACGAAGAGGTTGTATGACTTGGCTGAGACCCTGGACTCGGTAACCTGATTCCTCATATCTCAAATGACCAATCTGACCTCCAAGGCTCTTTCCAGCTCTTATTCTGTGTTCTGATTTCAAATTGATCTCAGGGCTTTATTTTTTCACATTTTTAGAAAATTGGCACAAATTGAACTACCATGTATATTAAATAACAAGAATAACTGAAGTATTGAATAAGAAAGACAAGTGGGGTTTTTTTGGTGTTTTGTTTTGTTTTTTTCCCTTACTGCTATGTTGTACTAAATACTATCATTTTTTTTCCTTTTCTAGATTATTTGAAAAACCTTTTAGAAGACTCTGGCGATTACAGAGATACTCAAGGTACTTAACTTTTGTGGTCTCGTTTATTACAGAAGTTTTTATATTATGTTTATTTGGATCTTAAAAGTAAAAATATAACAAAGCCATGTACAAAATGCTGCTCTATTCACAAGAAACCTTTTTTAAAAAATAACTCTATTTTGGGCAGATTAAAATAAAGCTAGATAAACTGGTACAATGGTGCTGGATGCCAGTGAAATTCTAGGGACAGGAGAGGCCCAGGGTCAGCAGGCCATGGGAGCCTGCCTCCAGAGAGAGATGGTCTGCGTCAGGAAGCTTCATCCTCCAGGGCTCACTCACCCCTGCCTGTGGTAAGGTCACCTGCTCTAGATGGTTATTGCTTTGAAAGAAGGGATTGACCCGGCTGATCTGCAAGGTCCTGTCAGGCTTTAAAATCATGAGTCCATGAAGTGACAAAACTAAACAAATCGGTGATAATGTCTAAAATAGCATATTATCCTAGGAATGTTTAATAATGGGCATTATTAGCCTTACTACCCTCCACCCCTCATGCCCAGTTGTACTTAAAGGGAATAGTCTTACTACAATACAAGGGACTCACTGATATTCATGGGATAATCCACTCTGTGTGTGTGTGTGTATAACAAGTCCATGTCCAGCCCATTAATTTTATGAATTTTGATTACATTCTTATGCATCCTTTACATTTTCCAATTATAAAGCTGAACACATTTTCAACCCATTTTGTAGAGATTCCTATTCATTCTCTTAGTTATTTTACTTCTTTCTCTAACATCGTCTTTTTGCAAGCATTATGCTTTTAAAGGTGCTTTTTTCAAAGGAAGAGTTTGGCATGGGGAATATGACATGCTTCTTGTCTTCGGTGAACATATAATCTAGTTGAAGAAAAGTCTTCCCGGCCGACAAAGAACAAAGCAGGTAGCTTTAAAGCAGGAATGCACTGAACAGTAAAGAACCCTTTGGAAGAGGGATGGCTTTGCTTAGAGAGAAGTGGGGTGGAGATGAGTTGAAGGGTGGGTGAAAGCAGTGGGTATTCAGACCAGAATCTGTCTCATGAAGATAAGAATTTTAGCTCTTGGCACATAGGGCCTCAGGGAGATGTCTGTGCCAGGGGCGTCTGCCTTTCAGAACAGTGAGTTATTAGATAAAGCAAATGGAAGGCCAGAGATTGAGGAGCTTGTTTAAAGGAAATTACACACGTCAGCAAAGACTGGGTGAGAATAAGCAGTGAACAGTGAGGGGCACTGGGTGGCCGGAGGCATGTCAGTAAAATGGTGAGCAGTTGTACAGGAGAAGGCCCAAAGGTGAGGGAAAATGAGAGAAATATACCTTTGGAAGGTAGGCAGAAGAGTTAAAAGAACAGAGTCATCAGGGCCTCTGAAAAGGATAGCGTGGGGGGAGCAGAATTACCAAATGGCTAGGAAAATCCAGGTGACCAAACAGCAGCAGCTTTTTCATTTCACCCATTCGTTAAAGACTAAAGCTTTTCTCCCTGCCGCCCTGGGAATTCAAGCAGGCCAGAAAGCAGAATGTTTGCCATGATGAGTATCAGGTAGAGTAAATTCTGATACATGGTTGGGGACTCTATAAGGAAATACTGCTTTCCTTTAATGATGGTGATAATAATACATTTATATTTAAAGACTGTACAAACTCCCAAGGTTGGTCCTAGAAAGAGAATTTCTTGGTAGGTTACATTAATAGTAGCTGGGCCCCAAACCCTCAACCCCTTTCCAGAAATTGACTTGTTTTTTTAATTGTCCTTTCACTGATGATTTCTGTCACTGCCACACCAGCCTCAGGAGGGCAGGTTCCCTCATGAACACTCCACCAGTTTTTCTCAGTGGGAGTGCTTCTGCCGTATCGTATGGGATCGCCTTTTCGTGTGGGTTTCTAATTAGTATTGCAGGATGTTTGGCATCCTTGGTTCTAGTGGACCCTCCCAGTCACGTGACAACCCAAAATTGTCTTTACACATGTCCAAATGTCCCTTTGGGAGCACTGCTGCCTTGGGTTGAGAACAACTGTAGCCCAAAAGGAGAAAAAGTTTAGACTGTTTATTTTTTTTTAATATAGCTAGTTATAAAGATGATAAGACTGGTGCATTCAAAAATACTTTGCTAAAGGCAAGGAGTTAATAAAAGAATAAAATACAGATGAAGCCACATAACCCAGCTTATAATATAAGGCATGTAATTTCCTAAAGTCTAGTAGGCATGTGGCATTTCTTCCCTCTTGGGATCAGACTAAAAGAAGGCAGGTCACCCCAGACCCTCTTACATAGTCGTGTCTTTTAGTTCTGGTTTCCTATCCCAAGATCCTTTCTCTCAAGGCAGTTTAGTGAAATCCTGTCCTTATGAGTATCCTTGTATATTTCAACAGGATAATCAAATCTCAGCATACAACAACCCTGACATTCATCCTATTGATACATACGGCCTATAATGTCTCATTAGAGTCTTTCTTTGGCCCATTTTTTTCCCTCAAGTTCAGTTTTTGCCTGTTTTTCTTTGGTTTTGCCCTCACTGAATCTCATCATCCTGATTTCTGCCTACACAGTTAATCGAGGTCCTCCAGTGGTTGGTTGCTGTGAAGTAGCCATCTTGTCGCCTGGAATTGCTTCATGTTGCAATTCATTGGTAATGACCAAATGCCCCTTCTGTTCCTATATATTTTAGATGCTCTTGCTGTTGTTATAGAGGTAGCCAACCACGCCAATGACACCATGAAGCAAGGAGTAAGTATCTGATCTTGGTGGCTGGTGTACTCTTGAACCTGGGAGCCCAGGCCTTCATATGCTCTGCATTCTCTTTCTATAGGATAATTTCCAGAAACTTATGCAAATTCAGTACAGTTTAAGTGGACACCATGAAATAGTGCAGCCTGGACGGGTAAGTGTTTTACAAATTTAATACAATGCATTTAAGCACAGTTTGCTATTTTTTTATTTGTTATGAAAATAGGGTATTTGTTATTGTTTCTCTTCACTGACTCAGTCTGGATCAACTAAGTTATTCTATCCATTCAAAACATTCATGACTTAAGTCACTGTGACAAGAAGTCCAGTTCAATTAGGAAACTGGCAAGGAACCCCACAGGGTATCTGATGAAATAGGATCATTTTATTGTGTAGTACTAGCTGACCTCATACAGCTTTACAGACAATTTCATTTAAAATCTGTAATGTAAGAGAGGATTATGAGGGGAGGAAGAAAATTGGTATTTTGGTGCTCCTCATAAAGCACAAAAGTGGCCTAGGGAATGAATTCAGGAAAATTACAAAATGCCATTGTCAGGATGTCGGCTATGCCTCAGGATGAAGTACACGCTGAGGCAATTACATTTCAGACCACATAGTGCCCCTGGGGCCAGTATTGGATTTATGAAACTCTGCAACCTTGTCCAATTCCTAAATGACTTACAGGGTTTTAAAAGAAACCATGGCTGAAAAAAGTCACAAGGAAGCTATGTCTGCCCAACCCCCACAAAAAAAAAAATTCTAGGGAAAAAAAGTTTAGAAGGAAATTATATGTCTATTGTAGTTGTGTTATGGTGGTAGGACTAAATGGGTGTTTGTTTGGATCAATCAGGTTTTTCTCAAAGAAGGTACTCTGATGAAGCTATCTCGGAAAGTCATGCAGCCCCGAGTATTCTTCCTGGTAAGTGGCCATGTGCTCTTCTGATGAGCCTGAGGAGGTAGGGGTCAGTGCTTGATGAAAGGAGGAGACATTTGCACATTAGCACATTCAAATAGCGGTTTTGCTGGGGTCTTTGGCTGTATTGCTTCTTTACATTTCAAGTATAGAAAACAAAGTCTTTTATGATGTGTAACCGGAAAATTACTTCCTTTTCTAATTTAGTTTATTTCATTTCTAGTTTGGAAAAATTGATTCAATTATTTATTTAGGCAAATTGTAATACTTGAGTGGGATTTAGAATTCAGAAACCATTAAATCTGTCTACAGAACTTGGAAAGAAAGCACGTATTTTAGAAATTGCTTTTTTAATAATATTCTAGTAGAACATTCTGAGTGGTGCTAGTTTCTATAAGCGGAACATAAGTATTTTATTCAGAGAGCTTTTACAAAAGAGGTAATATTTTTCCTTTATTCTTGAGTCTTATCAATAACTTTGTACCTAAAATTTGTTCCTTTACCTCATGCTATGAAGTGTTTCTACTTTCAGTTTAATGATGCCCTATTATATACAACACCAGTACAGTCTGGGATGTATAAACTGAACAACATGCTCTCACTGGCTGGAATGAAGGTCTGTGCATCTTTTAGATTTTTTTTACTTAAATATATTTAGAGAAAAAGCCCTAAGGTAGTCATCTTTCTCACATCTTTAACTTTCTCTCACTATGTATTACTGTTCCTGTGTTCATTTATTCACTCACGCCGTCAGTTGTTCACTCATACATGAATTTATTCATAAGATCTTTATTGAGAATTACTCTAAATAAAGCATGGAAATAGGTTGGTGGAAAATACAAAGATAAATAGAAGCATGATTCTTTTTGTCTCCATTCCTACACCAGTCTCCCCGGGAGCTTATCAACTAGTTGGGAAGATAGTACACTACACATAAATGCTTATAAAATAGACAGTAATAAACATTACTGTAAAGGCACAGTTAAAGTTTTTGGTTGGGAGTTCAGAAAATAAAGAACTTGCAGCTTTCGGCGGGACATGGTGGAGGGATTGATGGCACCTAGGAAAGAGGGAGACCTGAGGAAGTCTTTTTGGAGGAAGAGCCAAGAATAGGTCACATTTGGCCATGCCGAGATGTGGGGAAAGTCATTCCAAGGCAAAGGCTTGAAGGTGGGAAGGTTGGGCCTGTGTGTATGTAGGTATTTAAATTCACCTGGAACAGAGAGTAGATGCGGGAGAGTAGTGGTAGATGAAGCTGGATATGAAGGGCAGTGGTGGTGGAGGATGTCAGCAGCCATTACATTGGGCAACTTTAACTGTGTTTCAGAGATGAGATTTTTAACAGGATGAGTTTGCTCAAATTGTTTTGCTTTCTTCCAGGTTAAAAAACCCACCCAAGAAGCATATCAGAATGAACTGAAGATAGAGAGTGTGGAACGGTCCTTCATTCTCTCAGCCAGGTAAATTAAAAAAATACGTATAGATGAGCATTTGCCAGTATTATAGGGTCAGACATCTCCAGCATTTTTTTTACATTTGGGTTACATACTAGACTTATCTTTTTTCCCTTCTTTACTTTCTGGATACCATGCATTTTTCTCTTGATTCACCATGTTGGTAAAATGTGTGAGAGCTGATGCAATAGTGTGCTAGAAGCACAACGATAAAAATGTTCCTCTGAATAGAATAATAATGCTGAAAAATGCTTTGCTGATCATTTTTTTAAAGTCTTTCAAATCTTTTTACAACACTGAATGTTTTTAAAAACATCTAGTGCTTTATCGTTTACTAGGAAGTTTTCACATAACATTGAAAGGACATAAATTTATGAGGTACGTGTCATCTCATTAAAAATGAGGAACTCAAAAAAAAACATGAGGAAGACTAGAAGTTACAGAAAAATTGAGTTGTTGTCTTGAGGATACTTAGCTGGCAAAGTCAAGATACAAGTAGAAGTTTTTTTGCTGTTGAATCTGTTGTTATTTATGATAGCACATTGCCTCAAACTGGAACGTGCAGTGATTTATGTGTAAATCAAACTATATTACTGTAAATAAAATCCTAAAAAAAACCTGGAAGCTGTGTGAGTCATAAACATACATTACTGAGTTATTGGCTGAGTGGCAGAAGCGGGTGTTTGGCAGGATTTGACTGGTGAAGGGGGAGACCCCAACACCCATTGCATGGTCTCCGCTGCTGGGTCTGGGTAATGGCTCTCAGACCTAACCTTTGATGTAATAAAATTAGTAGCAAATAGTTTTGTAGCACTTACTTTGTGCCAGGCACTATGCTGAGTACCCTCTGTATATTAATTCATTAAATCTTCACAACAACCTTTTGAGGTAAGTTATCACTATTACACCCATTTTATGGTGAGAAAAGCCACCCAGCTATTAAGTTGCAGGGCCAGGATGTGGACCCAAGCACCCTGACTATAGCTGTGTCCAAACCACTAAAATCAACTAGGGTTTGGGAGCAGTTAGAGTCATAACCGGAACCATTTATGTCTCTGCATGGTGCTAAATGTCTTATATTGATTTTCTCTTTTAATTGTCATGATAAGTAGTGGAGTAGGTATTGTCTTGACCTTCCATATGAGAAAAATGGAGGCTCAGAGAGGTTTAAAACATAAGTCCAAGGTTACAAGCTAGTAAGCAGTGGAGCTGAAATTTGAACCCAGGTGTATCTGACACCAAATTTATGCTTTTAATCATAATACTGTTGCCTTTGTCCATGGATATCAAGGACTCAGACCAAAATGTGTGACTTCCCAAAATCAGAGGACCACAAGAGGAGCTAGCTCCCTGGGTCATGTCACTCTTCTGAAATGGAGCGGCCACTGCTGCCTGACTCCAGATCTCAGGATGACAGACGACAAATCCCTGTTTTCAGGGTTTGTCAAATACTTCCCAGCTCCCAGCCAGAGCCCTGACCTTTTTTTCTTTTCTTTTTTTCGAGTTTGAAGAAAAGTGCAAAGAATATCAAGTCCTTGTACATCAGGCTCCTGGAAAATACTTAAGCTTGGTTCTTAAAATCAAGAAAGTTATTTTTCAAAGATCCAAAGAGGAAATGCCTATAGGAATGTCAAGTTTTCAATGCTACTTAAGCTTCCTAACTAGAAACGTACTTTGGTAAAAACAAAATTCTGTCTCATTAAAAATTGAACAATTCAGCAAACGATGGTAAATCTTTCTTTCTTTGGTTGTCTGTCAGGTGAATATCTAGATGCCCCTGTTTTTCCAGATTGGCTTGTTAGGTTTCAGTAAGGTCGTTGGATTTTTAGGTGTGATGGGAAACCATCAGAGGGTTTTAAGCAAAGGATTGACATTGTCAACTTTATTTTTTAAAGAGCACAGTCTGCTTTGTAGAAAATAGGCCACCGGAGACTAGAGTTGAAGTTGGGAGATCAGGCATCAGGTAGGAGGCCATAGACGATTGTGTCTTGGATGAGAGAGGTAGGAAGTGGTCAGAATCAGGAATAGCTGATAGGATTCCTGATGGATGGAATGTGAGGTATGCAGGAAAAATGATAATAAAACTGGAAAGTTCTTAATAAAGGAAAAGTAAATTTCCAAGGGAGGATTAGGTGGCACAGGGGAAAGGGAACTAACACATATGGAGTGCCATCAGTGTGCCATGCTCTCTTTCTGAACTCCCTCAGCCACAGTAAGGCAGGTACTATATAACATGTAAAAAGGAGAGAAGGTCTCTTGTGATCTGGTTTTCATCTGCCTCCCAGGCCTGGTCTCCATTCACTCTCTCTGTCCCCATGCCCATGAAAGCATGGCATGTTCCATCAGCATGGATCTACTTGTGATTCTCCATGCATGCCAGTCTGCTTTACATCCTTCTGCCTTGCACAGACAGCTACCTCTGCCTGGAATTCATCCATCGTTCAATAAGTAATATGGAGCCTTTATCCCGGGCCAGGCATCGGCATACAGTGGGGGGAATTAAAAAGGCCCTCCTTGCCTGAGCTTACAGTCCATTAGGAAAAACAGACACTTAGCTAATGTTAACACAATCAATTGCTATTATGATTAAGTAGCATATAGGAAAACTACCAGGTACTACAAGGCTGTAAAACAAAGGACCTTGAACTAGATTTGGTGGAGAAAGGGCAGTCAGGGATAGCTTCCCTAAAGACCTGCTATGTCTATTGAGTTATAAAGGATAAATAGGAATTGGATAGTGGGGCAGAGAGGAAAGGAGGAGGCTCTTGCTCATCAGGAACAATGTGTACCAAGGTCCGAGATGGAGAGGGACCTGGCGTATTCATAGAACTGAAAGGCCGGTGTGGCGTGAACACACAGATGAGAGGGAAAGTGACCCAGGAGAAGCCTGGAGGGACAGGGAGCTAGATTTTGCAGAACCATCTGGTGGATTTTGGTTTTTAGCTTAAGAGCCATAGGAAACCACTGAAAGGTTTCTACAGAGGAATGATGTGATCAGACTGGCATTTAAAAAAGAATATCTGGTTGCTGTGTGGAGCATGGTTTGGGAGGGGAACTAAAGGAGATGGCTCATAGGGGATAAGAGAGAGCGGCATTGAGAGTGAGTGTCCAGCTTGTACAACGTATTGGGTAATGGTGCCATTGGTTGTGATGGGAAACACTGGGAGAGGAGCAGTTTTGGGGAAGAAATCAGGAATTTAGTGTCAGATGTGCATATTGAATGCGAGGTACCTATGGCTCATCCAAATGGAGCCATCGTGGAGGCAGTTTATGTAAGGATCTGAATGTCAGAAGGAAGCCTGGACTAGAGGCATATATTTGGGAGTCCTCAGCTTAGAGATGCTAACCAAAGCTAGGAGACTGACTGAGGGTGCACAGAGAGACTAAAGCGTTCCCTGTCAAACTCCTATAATTCTAATCCTCTCTTAGTGATCACCTCTGCAAAGCCTTCCCTACTACCTGCATAAGGTAATTTACTATTTCTGTGTTCTCTATCTGCCTTGCATTTATTAAATCATACGGTAACTAGTCGGTTCTATGTCTCACCTCAATTAGACGTAAGCCCTTGCAAGTGAGGTGTATTTTGTGTGCTCAGTTCATGACTTAGTACCTGGCCTTTAGTAGGCTCCCAGTAAATGTTACTCAAATAAATTGAATTAAAGCAGTGTGGCCTTTGGACCTCAGAGTAGCATGTACAGTTAACACAAGTAGTAAATGGTGTGACAAGGTCTAACACACCAGAAATACCTTCTTTTGGAGAGTTTTTTCCCTTGAAAATTCACCCCAATCAATAGGACAGCGGTGCTTATTGAATACAAATTTGCTTTCTGGTAACGGGCTTAGTCCATAATAGAAAAGGATACTTGGTTGAACTGTTTTTTGATCCGAGGAAGATGCTAATTTTCCTGCTAACCATGTTAAAAAAGGAGAGCTAGAATGTCTCCACTCAGTGCTGCGGGCAAATGTGTGTGGTCTGTGAGAAATGTGTTATCAAGAGCTGGTAAACATTGTTTTGGCAGAGCCCCACACAAGAGAGCGCCAGGAATGACTAAATGAAAGAACAGCATATGTGACATGATTTGCACAGTCGAATCGCATTACATGTGCTCTCAGGGCTCCAGAAAAATCAGACGGCAATTCTCAAATTAGCCATCTGCCTCTCTGCTTCCTGTTACTTCTTCCACTGAAAAGTTGGGGAGGGAGAGAAAGAGGGAGGGACGGTAATATTTTATGAATGTTTACTTGTAAGCCTGAGCATATGTTCCCGTAGTGTAGTTCTTCAGAGAACATGTACAGAGGCCAGAGATCACATGGTGGTGAAAGGTTCAACCCTTAGCCACACTTGGGTCTGATACCAACTCATCATTTAGTAGTCTGTTATCTAAAACAAACTCTCTAACATTTTGAACCCTCACTTCCCTTATCTATAAATGGTGATGGTGGATGGTGATGTTGGGGTGGGGGGTATATAAGATCCAATATATATTCCATGGAGTAGCTTTAAGGATGAGCTATGGTAACATTTGCAAAGCATTTAGCACAGTTGGTTGACATGTAGTAACTGTTAAATGTCAGCTAGTTGTGACAGTAACGGTAGAATAGTAGAAGTAAACTGAGGCAGGTTTTATTTAGTTTGGAGAGATAAGGACTGTTTCTGTTTTATTTTGTTCTTGGTAGATAATGCAAATTTGAGAAATATACTAGTTTTAAATTTTTATTTGTAAACTGGATTTATACCTTTTAATATCCATGTGAGTGCAAACTTTGAATGGCACTTAAGTCATTTAGTAAGAAGGTACATTTCTGAGAATTATTATGAGGAAGACAAGTAGTTTTTTAGTATCTCCTTGACCTGCTCTGGGTTCATCAAAATACAACAAATTATGCCTATTCATATAATTTATGATATTATTTTTCATTTTAAAAATATCATTTAAGATTTCAAAAATCACAGCCATAAACATGCTTTCAGTGTCTTATTCAGGGTGGTACATAACTTTCTTCTATTTTCTTTTTTTATATAAACTTTTATTAATAAAATATTTTGGAATAAAAGTTCAAATATACTTAAAATTAGAAACTGCATATTCAGTTACCCAGACACAAAAATTATCAAGACTATCCTGCCACAATTTTTCCCATTTTCTAAAGTATTTTAAAACAAATTGCAGATATCCCGTCATTTCACTCCTACGTACTTTATTGTGCCTCTCTAAGAAAAATACGCATTTTCTTACACAATCACATTCCAATTATTATGATGGATTTTATTTTATTATGATAGTTTTAAATTCTCCCCCTCCCCCTCCCATCTACACACACACACACACACACACACACACACACACACCAAAATATGCGCCTCTCCCTCTTTATTGTGCCTCTCTAAGAAAAATACGCATTTTCTTACACAATCACATTCCAATTATTATGATGGATTTTATTTTATTATGATAGTTTTAAATTCTCCCCCTCCCCCTCCCATCTACACACACACACACACACACACACACACACACACACACACACACACCCTAAAATGCGCCTCTCCCTCTTGGGTATGCAAAACAAAATGTGCTGATACCAGTGATAATCTGGAGTTACCACAGAGGCGTTTTGGGAGGAGGTGTGGTTGTCCAAAAGCAGAACAAGAATGCCTTTTTCTAAATAGGCTTTCCCCCTACTTGGCCCATTTCCATCTAGGTTTGAATCATAGCACCTAATGAACTGAGGGTTGGAGCAGAAAACGTGATGAGCTGAATAGGTAGAGGCACCCTAACAACTACAGGCTATCTCCCTTATTAACCACTCCTTAAACATCTGTTCATGATAGCCAAAAATATGTTTCCTTAACCCACCACCCGTTCTACAAAATGTTAGTAGTCGTTAGTAACCCAAAAATATCTAGTATTCTATTCCCTACATTGGGTTTGAAACTTGATTCCTTGGAATATTTTTAAATTCTAGGATTATATTCTCAGGAAACTCCTTGGTTGTATAAATAATCATAATTATTAATTGTGTGAATAGCCCTGAAAGCACACAAAAATACTTCCAACGTCAGGAGACTTCAAACGCCATTCAGCCTCAAGCAGTACTTTTTGGAAAGGAAAGAAAGCGTTGTATTATATTTGCTAACATGCCATGCGTTCCCTAATGCCTGCTCGAACTGTGCACATAAACCTCTGAGTTGCCGCCTGAGATCAGCTTTGTTTGAGGGAGGTAGATTCTGTTGCCATGGGTGAAGGAAAAGAAGTAAAAAAAAGGCCGAGAATAAAAGCTGACATCTGGTTGATGGAAACTTCTTTTGCCCCCAACAGTTCCGCCACTGAAAGGGATGAATGGCTAGGAGCGATTTCCAGGTCAATAGAAGAGTATGCCAAGAAAAGATTCACATTTTGTCCCAGTAGGAGTCTCGATGAGGTATTGTCTTTTCCTCCTCCTCCCCCCCCCCCAATGTATTTCACTTTTTTCCTTAAAGAAACTTTTCCCAGGGGTTTAGAAAAGCAACATGTGTTTCACAGAAGGATTGGAGGTGTGTGCACAATTTCAGAGCTAACATATTGATCCTATTAATGTCTCACTGCAGGTCTAGGATAGTATATAGCAGATTCATATTTTTCCTAGTTATCAAACCTCATTGTAGAAAGCTTAGAAAGTGCAGCATGGTTTAAGGAAACCAGTAGTCATCGCACTGCCACAGGCATCTTTTTAAGTTAATTTCACATTAGAGGATTGTTAGACTGTAGCTCATCTTAATATCCTAAGAACATGAAAAATATAACGGAACATATTCCATCTCATATCCTTAGTGACACCCTCAGCATTGTGAGCCGCCACTGTTAAAGAAAGGGCTTGATTCTGTAGCTGTCAGTGTGCATGGAGATAATCAGAAGTCTTTCTTCCACAGGCTGACTCAGAAAATAAAGAGGAAGCTAGTCCCCTTGGGTCGAAGGCTCCCATCTGGGTTCCCGATACCAGAGCCACAATGTGTATGATCTGCACAAGTGAATTTACTCTGACCTGGAGGCGACACCATTGCCGGGCCTGCGGAAAGGTTGGACAGGATAACACCCATATCCATTGTGATTGTTAATAGCTCCAGGCTGTACATAATGAGGAAGCATATTTCCCCTTGTAAACGATTGTAAGGGGGTAAAAAACAAAAAGATACTGAATCCTGGATGGTAGTTTCTCTAAATATTTAGGCATGGAACAATCGTGTTGGCAAACTTAACCCCTCCTACCTTAAAGTTACTTGAGAATGTCAATAACACAATTTTCATTAAAAAAAAACACCTCTAACAAATTCACAATTAAATAGACCTTCACATTTACAGATAATTATTTAAACTGCTTTTACCTAGATAGTAAATACAGAAGTCCTCACTTACCTTCATTGATAGGTTCTGCAACTTTAAGGGAAATTGCATATAATGAAACCAGTTTTACCATAGGCTAATTGATATAAGCCAGAATAAGTTCCTGTGGTATCTCATTGACGTTATAATGAAATGACGTTATTCGGGGACCTGCTATATTTAATAGGAGGAACTTTCAGTGTTCAAGTTATCACTAGTGATGTTTCTAAGTCTTCATGACCTCATTAGTAAGATGAGCATAGTAACAATGACATCAGAGAGTCACTGTAAGGATTAGATGAGGTCTTATTCAGAGAGCATTTAGTACAGGGCCAGACCCTTGGTAGAGGCGTAGCAGAGGTGGTTGTCGTTATAGCAGTGATGATGACAGTGACAATGCTAATGATGATAATACAGCTAACCCAGGACTTACTGCATGCCAGGCACTGTTCAAACATTTTGCACACATTAATTCTTTAGTATATTGTTTTATGTAGTAAGCACTCAGTAATAATCGGTGGCCTCTACATCTTCAGGTGTGGTATGGAACTCATAGAGTTGTTATTGAGATTCAATGACCGTAAAAACGTTTTAAAAAGTAAACAGCACTATAAACTGTAACATACCTGATGGTTTGGATACAAAGGTTATTCTAAATTAAATACTTCCAATGTGTTTTCAGATTGTATGCCAAGCTTGTTCATCAAATAAGTATGGCTTAGATTACCTGAAAAATCAACCAGCAAGAGTATGTGAACATTGTTTCCAAGAACTACAGAAATTAGGTAATATATAAGTAAAGATTTAACCAAAAATTCCTTTATTCCCCAGATGCTTTCAAACAACCTTCTGAAAGAATCATCTTAGACACATTAGCAATATGATTGGTTATACTTATCTCAAAACATTGAGTATTTTGCTTTCTTAACTTAGTTAAGCTCTCCTAACTCATATTTTAAGGTATTCCCAAGAGTGGTTGGATTGAAATTTATTTTTACTCTGAAAACACTTTTGCTAAGAATACTACTTTTAGAAATGTAATTACAGGATGAAATGTTTCAAACAATTACAAGGAAACTTTAACTTTTAAGTAATTTTGAAGTTTCTAGTTTTACAACTGTGTGCTCATCACAAATCATTTTATCTATTTATAAAGTTAATTCTCTATATTGGGTGGCACTTTGTTAGCCTAATTCTACTCACATGGACTGATTTAGTGAGGTTTTATTGTATATATAAACGTGCAGCTTTTCACCAAATACAAAATGATAGCTCAGTCTGCCTACTCATAATCTGCAGATACCCATCTTTGCAGTTAAGAGTACTGCAGCTAGCAGTACTGCTCAGGTCTCTATTTTGAGAACAGGTCTCTCTAGTCAGATTCCTGAAACCTATAGGATCTGAATTTTAAAAAGATTATCCTTCATTCCCATGAAGATCAGCTTTCCATTAGCAAATGAGAATATCTACATGAATAAAACTAGATGATATGCTATATCAGAATCGTATATTTAGTTTGTTATTGTCTGTGTACATTTTCCAAGAAGACAAAGCCGTCTTATCATTTGCCAGCCTTTATGTTCCTTCATTTGCCCTCTGGGTATATAATATAGGCTGCAAACATTCAAAGTTTATTTTTGAATCCCCCTCCTGCATCATCAACACCCATTTGGTCAGTAAATCTTGTCAAATTTATCTTTGAAAACCTGTCTTTCTCTTGATTTCTTCATCTCAGCCCTAATAAGGCTTTATTATCTTTCATGTAGACTACAGTAGTAATTTCCTAACAGGTTTTCCTGCTGCAAATCCTTCCTCCTTCCTACTGCCAGATTTATTTATTTGCTCGTGTCACTCCCCAGCTTCAAAGGCCTTTGGTTTCCCACTGCCTGAACACCAGTGCAGGTCCCTTAGAACCGGCCTTTTTTCCCAGCATTATTCTTCTCCAAATAGATGATCTAATTTCATACCTCTGCTTTTGCTTACACTGACCTCTCTTCATGGAGTGCTCTTCCTCCTCTTTTTTGTTTGGCAAACTCTTACTTATACTTTAATGGCCAACTCAAACATCTCATTCTCTTCCAAGCTTTTCCTGAACCTCTGCAGTCAAAGTTAATTGCTTCCTCATCTTGACTTATAGCTCCTTTTCTAGCACTTTGTTCACTGTAGTATTATTTGGTCATGTATCTAGATATTAAACGATGTTATTAGATTTTTTTTTAAGTCAGGAGGGAAGTTTTTTAAATCTGTTTTTCTAAGATGGTAATACAGTAACATGTTTCAGAAGTCTAAAGGCACAAAAACCCTTTCACATGGCTTAGTGTTGAGAAAGTAGACAGTCATGGACAGTGGAAAGTCTTCCTCCCACTCAGCGTCTGCCCATCTGTCTTCTTTTCCCAGGGGCCTCAGTGTCATCAGTTTCTTCAGTATCCTTCCATGGATATTTTATGCAGTAATGTTTATTGACTGAATTAAATTGACTTGCAGAATGGTTACCATTGTACCTGATTTCTTTTAGATCACCAGCACTCTCCTAAGATCGGATCTCCTGGAAATCACAAATCTCCTTCAAGTGCCTTATCCTCCGTCTTACATAGTATCCCATCAGGGAGGAAACAGAAAAAAATTCCAGCTGCTCTCAAAGAAGTAAGTGTTTCCATTAAACTTGCAACCTGATAGAGGCTGAATCATTCATATGCATATAGTACAGTTTTTCTTTCCTAAAGGAAGATGTCATTTCCCACTACTATTAAGACCCGAATTTTAATATGGGTGGTGGGTGTGGCTACTGCTTCATTATCTTGCTTGGACTCCCATATGACCTGAGTCATTTAGAAAATGGCTGTTGAAAGGTTTAGAGAACATTTAATAGCAATGTTCTCTAGAAAGTAAAGATAACTTGGGCACGCCTCAATTTTAAAAATTACTTTGAGGAGACCAAGTCTATAGAATATTTATTGATCAGCACGGTAGTTATTTGTAGGCATTGGTTGGTTCTATGCAGCTGATACCACTAATAGTAGGTTGTCTTTCCTTTAAACTGAAAAGAACATTTTAAAAAGTGATGATAAGCCTACATAGTTAGACCTGCCAAGCACATAATCCACAGACATCACTGATATCCTATTCCAGTTCCTCCAATTCAAGTGTTCATTCAGCCACTGTCAGAGCTCAGACAGCACCGCCTTTCTGGCCACTCCCATTTTGATTAGTTATTCATTAGTTCTACCTGTGCTAGTTTTAGGGCCAGCAGAGGAGAGTTTTAAATTTTGTTCTCTTGCTTGGTTACTGTGGAAGTGTTCTACCATGGAGTGTGGAAGCAAACAACTCTAAAAACTTGACCAAGATCATGTTTCTTATGTAAAGTTGAGAATATTCTATCACGGCAGTTGATAAATTGAAGTGATTTATAGCCAAGCTCGTGAAATAGTTAAGTTTCAGACAAAACTGGTTAAGCCAGTTTAGTACGTCTGAACTCGCTCTTCCATCACTCAGTTCCTGAATCTAATTTGATTGACATTTAGAACTTCAAGGTTTTTCATTAGCTGAGTTCTCTGTAATTTTTCTCCTCTCCATGCTGATGTCACAGTTTGTAAATATAATCCTTACATTTGCTCCTCTCTTCAGTCTAAATTCCACAGCACTGGTTACAGAACTCTGTCCAGCCTACACTATACCCAGCCTAACTCCAGCCCCATTTCGTACATTTTTCCACCCACCCACACAAACAGGCCTTCACTTTCAAACCTCTGCTTCATGACTGCAGCCATTTCTTCCTCTACTCCACTGGTTTCCAAAGAGTCCTCCAGAACAGCAGCAGCACCATCACGTGGGAACTTATTAGAAATTTGAATTCGTAGGCCCCACCCAGTGTGTACAGAATCAGAAACTTGAACAAGCCTTCTCGGTGATTCACATGTACACTAAAGCTTGAAAACCACTGCTTAGCAGTCAGACTGGGGAAATTAACTTATTCAGTTAAGTGCTATAAAAGTCAAAGGATTCTCCTTGGGAAGCTGAGTTTTTTTGTCTTTTTTTTTTTAATTGAGCTGAACTTCACATAGCATATAATTAACCAATTTAAAGTATACAATTCACTGGTGTTTAGTGTATTCACAATGTTGTGCAACTGCCATATTGTTCTAGTTTCAAAACTTTTTCACCACCCCATAAAAACACCCTGTACCCATTAAGCAATCAGTCTCCCTCCACCCCGTTCTCCACCCCATGGGAACCACTAATCTGCTTTCTGTCTCTTTATTTTCCTATTCTGGATATATCATATAAAAGGAATCATACAATATGTGATCTTTTGGGTCTGGCTGCTTTTACTTAGCACCGTGTTTTCAAGGTTCATTCAAGTTACAGCATGTATTAGGATTTTGTTTCCTTTTATGTCTGAATATTACCCCATGATATGTATATACCACAATTTATCCATTCATCTGTTGATGGACATTTGGGTTGTTTCCACCTTTTGGCTGTTATGAATAATGATGCTGTAAACATTTATGTACCAATTTTCATGTAGACATATGTTTTCATTTGTCCTGGCTATATACCTAGGAGTGGAATTGCTTGGTCATGTGGTAATTCTCTTTAACTTGTTGAGGAATTGGGACATTGTGTTCTTATTCTAACAGTGTTCAATACATTTTTAGAAGTTCCTCTTTCTTAGAATTACATTCAGAGCCTCAAACCCTCAGTAATGACAAGCCATGTCTCTTGAGTTGGATTTGATTTATTTTTTAAATCAGGTCATTGGAAGGAAAGTTTTGTGAGTAAGGTGATTTTATTTTTAAAAAGATTATAGAGGACTATGCCTGACTGTTCAATATTGTGATTGATCTTGTATGGCTAATAAACTGTAATTCTCAAATATTCTAAAAGAATAATGTACTAAATTTTTAAATAATTTTTTATTAGTTTCAGGTGTACAAAACAACATAATAGAAATTTACACCCTTCACAAAGTGATAAACCTCCTTCCCCAAGCTACTTCCCCTCTGACATCATATATAGCTGTTTTAATACCACTGACTACATTTCCTATGCTGTGCTTTACATCCCATGACTATATCTATATATCTATCTACCTGTCTAATTATAGTTGACATTCAGTATTATTCTGCTTCAGCTTCAGGTGCAAAATATTTTGAGCAATGAGAGTAACATTTAATCTAAGTATTTAGTAGTATCCCGATATAACTACATTTTAAGCAAAAATCTCATTTGAACATAAACATTCTAATTTTTAAAAAATCACTTGGTAATCTTATACAAGGATGTTATTTCTTTGTACAAATTTACTTGCACTTAATAAATATTTCTAATTTAACATTACATATGAAATTTTCCATGAAACAATAATATATATCCTTTTTATTAAGTTTATATGAAATTAATACAATTACTATGATTAAGGATATACTTTTAAAATTCATAGAGCCCACATGTATTCGTTTTCTAGTGCGATGTAACAAATTACCACAAACTTAGTGGCTTAAAACAATATACATTTATTATCTCAGGAGTCCAGGCATAGCTTAGCTGGGATCTCTGCAAGGCCACAGTGGCCGTGTTGAGCTCTCACCTGGAGACTGACTAGGGAAGGGTCTACATCCATCCTCATCCAGGCTGTTGGCAAAATTCATTTCTTGCAGTTGTAAGACTGAGGGCCCGGGCCTTATAATTGGCTTTTACCTGGAGATTGTCCTCAGCTCCTAGAGTCTGCCCTCAGCTCCTTGTCATACAGACCTCCCAAGATGGCTGCTTACTTCTTCAAAGCCAGCATGGGAGAAAGCCTAGAGCTATCAACTAGCAAGATGGAGTCTTATATAATGTAACAATCATGGAAGAAGTCCTAGGTTCTGCCCACACACAAGGGGAGGAGATTGTGCAACAGTGTGACTATCAGGTAGGAGTCATGGAGCCACTTAAGAGTCTGTTCTCCATACCACATAATAAGGCAATTTGCTCTATTGTTACCATGTTAAAAAACAAACAAAGTTTCAACTGCTGGGTTATAATCACTAAAAGTTTACTATCTTTGTACCTAGAGATTAAAACATTTTCAGCCTTTTATGAAGTAAAACAAGCTCATTTTCTTTCAGACCAAAATTTGGGCAGCAGAACTTGATCCTAAAATTACCATTAATAGTTGAATTTTCTATTTACTTTTCTGTTGGTACAGTTTTTAGAAGTCCAAAAAGTTATTTCAGTGACAGTTAAAGTTTTAAGTCATTTTCGCTGACACCTCAGAATAAGAAGAGCAATAAATAACATACACAGTCCTCAAAATGCAGCTTTACAAAAAAACATCTTTGACCTTTGGGGTTATTTTTCTTCTGGTAACCCAGAAAACAAAGGCCCACAAAGAAACATACGTGCAAATCAGTTTCAAAAAATTCTAGAACTGCTTCTAAAAGTAAGGGTTTTTATGCTCATGGTAATGGCAATTTACCTGTACTAGGAATTGTACAGTAGCAGATTTTGAAAATAAACAATTTTATTCTGAATCATTATTATGGTTATTGCTTTCAGAATGAAAGATCAAAAGCAATTTTGTTATTTTAAATTTTGTTTTTGTCTGAAAATCATTAAACACTATGCATGGGGTTTGCTTATCTAGGTATCAGCAAACACAGAAGATTCTTCTATGAGTGGCTATTTGTACAGATCAAAGGGCAATAAAAAACCTTGGAAACACTTGTGGTTTGTCATAAAAAACAAAGTACTATATACATATGCTGCAAGTGAGGTAAGATCTCAAATCTAAAGATGAGTAATTTGGGGGTCTTGTTTTATAATGCCAACTGGAAACTATGACAGTATTTGTTTAATCTATTGGTTTTTTTGTATGTTTTTTGTTTTGTTTTGCTTTTGGAGAAAGATGTTGTGGTTACTTTTAATGTGAACAGTGTCTTTGTTTTTTCTAGATCTCTTACTCAAAAATAATAGGAATTTTCCATAGTATTAAAATGCAAGTTTTTTGTGTGTCATGTGATTACTACCTACCTTACTAAAGGCAGAGGGTCTTATCCTTTCTGCCAGGCTCTCTTGGATGACACCTGCTTGCCTATCCCCAGTTTGTATTGATCAGGCATCAGCACAGATAAGCTAGACTTCCTTTGGGTTATAAACAGTTTCTGGCTGTTTGCTCCCAAACTAACCCTTCTATCTGCTCACCCTGTGTTCCAAGATCTCTCTAAGGTCCAAGCGTTTCCTTGTGGGACTGGGGTAAATCACCTGACTTTCTGAGCTCTATTTTCTGCATCCATAAAATGAAAGTAGTATAATTACCTACCTCCTGTGGTTGTAGGGAAATATAATGTGAAATTCAATGGATATGAACACATTGAAAATTGTCTAGCATACTATCTGGCTCCTGGGGTAAGTGGGGAGGGGGGCAGCTCAATAAATATCGTTGAATAAATAAAAAATGAATAAGTTGCTAGAATTATTGTTTTATGTATGTGTATATGAAATTAGAGTTATAGAGATGAAGAGTTTGCAAACCTGAACTTTGTATCAGTTTTAGAACCCATCGCCCTTTGTGTCTCTCTAAATTAGGACGTGGCAGCTTTGGAAAGTCAGCCTTTACTAGGATTCACTGTCACTCAAGTCAAAGATGAGAACTCAGAGTCTAGAGTATTTCAATTACTGCACAAAAACATGGTATTTTATGTATTCAAAGCAGATGATTCCCACTCGGCTCAGAAGTAAGTAATTTAGACGTATTTTTCTTTCATACGTGAAAGTTTGAGGTGTTCTTTAAAATGACTGATTTTAAGATAACCTGCTTTCATCCACAGGGACAACTAAAAATTTAAATCAGAGATCCAAGTTATTAAGATATTATTCAAACTTTTCAGGATTGTTTCTAAAGACAGGCAAGAGTATCTGGAGTATTTTCAGGAGGCAGAGGGGGAAAGAAAATAGGTAATTTTGTCCAAAATATTTTGTGTACACATGACCTCGGAGGCAGCAGCGTGATGCTGCTCTGCTGAAAGGAAGGGAAGCTGAGGTATTTGACCTCTCCTTCGGTGAGGGTAAGAATCTTCTCTTGAAACATTCCAGGATTTGGCAATCCAATGATTCCATTATGCCGGGGAGCAGCAGGGAGTTTGAACAGCTGCTTGCTAACTTGCTTCTTTGGGAAAAAGGTCAAAAACATTAAGAAGCTCCCATGCTGTTCCCAATGACTGAGCTAAAAGAAATGGATATCATTTTAGGTGGTAAAGACTGAATCCATCTCTTCAAAATTCCAACAAGAATATTTATTTAGATGTCATGAGGTTGCTTAACAGAGGGAAACATATCTCTGAAATGGAGGTCCTTTCTGAACAAAACAGTTCAGTTCACCTCTCATTTGATTTTTATTTTGGCCTCACAAAATACACATTTTTTATTTGCACTAAGAGGTGCTCATATTTTGTGAATAGGCTTTAAAAGTGCATGCAGATAAAAAAAGAATGTTTTGAGTAGCAAGGTTTTTCATTTCTTAAGTTAGAATTACCAGAATTACGTATGTTCCTGAAGATTAATCTGGTACAATGTTACAAATACTCTTTTTTTTCCTAGTCTGTATTAGGATATCCAGCCCTGTATAGCTGTTACTCCAAATAATTTCTTTTGGGTACTGAAAAATATTTTAAAATTATGTCACTTACCTGTTTTTTTCTGTAAAAATTAGATAAAATAGTAATTACCCTAATATTCTGTTAGATATGTTTCTCATCATTTTAATCTGCAGTCATCACAAAACTGATAAAAATTATTGCTTTTCAATATACATCTTTTGCTTATATCTTTAAATTGACATGATAGAAATCATTGCAAGACAAGATTGAATATAGTTAGGTGAAGGGAATCACCTCACTTGTAACTTATAATTTAGAATTTGTACAGGCTAAATTATGTTTCTTTCTGAGGTTATTAATATCATATGGGTTGCTTTTTTGCACATTACAGAATATTCAGATATGTTAATTTCAGTGGAAAATTTTGGCTTTTAAAAGCCTTTTAATGGTATAATTTATATGCCATTTGCGTTTAAAATTTAAATTTTTGAAAATTTTATCCTTCAAATTTGAGCTAAATCTGTTATAGGTTGCTTTTACTGATTAAATTAAGTGATTTCCTATGTACCTAGTAAGTTCAGAAGTAATTCCACTACTAGGAAAGTACAAAGAGACTACCTCCAAGTATCTTCTGAATAATTAGAGTTGTGTGTATTGTCAGATAAAACTTTGAGACTAAAGGATTTTGGAAAGACTTCTGTGAAACTGAGACACTTTTATATTGCATGCAAGTTTTTGACCACCTGGAAATAGACTAGATGATAGATTCCATTTCATTGAAAATTTTAGATTTAGCTCTAAACTGGATCCCCAAGGGATCTGTGGATAGAGAAGGAGACAGGGACAGAGCTAGTGTTCCTAAAAATAGAAAGAGGGTTGAAATAAAGGCCTTTATAGATATACCCATTTCCAAAACCAATTGAATGGAATCATCAGGGCTTCATAGAGCTTTTACGTGAAATGGCCATTTCCTCATACCATGCAAAAATAAGCAATGCACTTTTCAGGCCAAATTACCGAACAAAGGATAGTTCCATATCTAAAAAATTCTAGTTTGCTATAGGAGAGATTTAAATATACTGTTAGGGTAATTGGATTCACAGGCACAGCTATTATCTATATTGTCTTAACATATATTGGGTAATTGCCTTTTATAAATCTAACAAATTTTTCTTATTAATAGGTGGATAGAAGCATTTCAGGAAGGCACAATATTGTAGCAGTATTGGTTTCATCTCTTCTGTGATTCCAAAAGGGTTGAATTTCATCATAATGGAGTAAATGCAGTACAAAAAAATGTATATAAATGAACACTGCCAAGATAAATCCAAACCATCAAATATGAGAAATTATAATTTTTTAAAATGTTTGTTTTTTCATGTATGTTATTTATTAAAATTTTGATGTTTACTTAATGGTCAGAGTTACTTCTGAAATTCACACTGAATTCTACAGTAACTTTTCTTTAGAAACCAGAGAAGTTATCTTAACACTGTACACTATATTCTGTTTGTGACACAATCCACACTATTTTCTCAATGTTTTTTACAGTATTACATTGTAATAACATTCTCACTAGTGGTGAGTCTTTGCAAATAAAAAACACACATCAAAGAGCAAGTTTCCATGCAGTGTTTAGTTTAGAAATTATAATTAAACTGCCGATGACAAAAATGCATGTCTTTGAATCAATAAACTATGATGATCTTTTTGTATCTTTTGATGGAAAAACACGTGGCCAACTTCTACCTCAGTAACTGTGAAATGAAATTCCATTAAATTATCTAAAGTATTTCTACTGTGATGTACCTCTTTTGGCATGAGATAATGTTACATCATCCAGGAATCAGAGCAAAGGGATAGAATCTGAATTTTTACTTAACTGAACTATGAGTGGGAAAGAGATTTTCATTTGGAGAGGAACACAAATAATCAACTCTACAGCCTATACATTAAGTCTAATCTTTTCTTAAAAGCTACCAGTTCAACACAAATACAAGTGTATTATTTTTTTAAAAAGCAAAATATGGCAAGCATTATATTAGATAACGTCCCTTGCTATTGTTAAGTGTTCTGAGCCCAAGCCATTGGTGGTATTTATATCTAAAAAGAATGTTACATTTCCTATAATATTGTGTTTTAAAAAATGAACTGGAATTACCATATCAAAAAAGCACAAATGCTAAGCCAGTATTAATTGAAGTTGTATTTTTTTTGAAGATTTTTTAATACCACTCTGTGTTATTTCTTTCCTAGTAATTTTTAAAATAAAAAAAGGCCTTTATTTCCTTAACCAATTGTCAGTGTACCTCATTAGGAAAGACTTATATTCATAATTCTGGTGCACTTATTGTTTATCATAGAAACTACTTTGTAAATAAAATTATTGATTCCCAGAAGAAAAATGAAACTAACACTATTTTCCAGATGTCTGTAATATACATTTATTGACTAAGCTTAAGCTACATATAAATTCTCTTAAGAGGTAAGGTGATCCATAGAATATTTCATTCAAGAGCACAAGAATATTCCTTTCTTTTACATAAAGGACTTCCTAATTCACTGTGATATTTGTGATTGCCAAGAGAATTAGAGTGCCTTTTTGAAGACTTTTGCATGTTGTTTGTTACAGCACCAGAGTCCCTATTAAATCTAGAGTTGGCCGCTGTGGTCTTTTCTGGCTATTGCTTCTTATGGAATCATTGTAAACCCTGTTGCAACCTCACACACAAATTCACATGCTATCTCCCAAGTCTTTCTGCTACTATAGGTAAACTAGTACTTCTTTGCAGCTTAATCAAGGTGGCGTAAATTAGGCTTCCATGTTAAAATCCCTGCAGTTTTCAGTGTATGCTTTTTGGAGACCAAGGTTATACCTTATAAAGTATTTCCTTCTGCTTCATTGGGGCTAGCATTTTGCAAAACATTAAGCTATTTGGAGTTCTCCCTCCTCTTGAGTTCTTAACCCCACTACAAGATTTCACTTAAACCTCACAATCTTAAAAAACATCAGCCAGGCTATTCTACCTTCCAACAGCTGGCTGAGTCTAGAACCAGTTATAAATCTAAATAGAAGCAACACTGCACAGACTTCTAGTAATTCTAATTACATGTGAAACTCATGTATGAAACTCATGGGGCTTAGCCCCATGGAGGGTGTTTTATAAAAAGCCTTTTGAGGGAGCTATCAGATTACCTCCCCCCATACTCTCCATAAAGATGTTTTAAATGTGGAATTGTATTACATTCCCTTTCCCCTTATCAATCCTCATAACTTACTAAAGCTGATCAATTATTTATTTAACCTGGCTCATTCAATGTTAACTGAGAAACCTAATTATATACATTTTATTGTAAAGCTACTTTGAAAAATATCTTGATAGCTAACATTTTAAAGAAAAAAAAAGGTATTTATTGGGTGCATTCTGTAAATGAGGAAATATAAATAGTACCTAGGTCCCAGGAATAATGTATGTATGACACTGATACACGTGCTTCCATCAAACCCTTTCAGTATCTCCTTTTATTCATAAGGAGGAGAAAGAGCAGTTATAAAACTAAGCCAAAAAGGATGCTGGGAGTAACCCAGACAAGAGGCCAGGCTAAACCAGGGGAAAGCTGGCGTTCTGACTGTGTTAGCCTCCCAGTGTTCCTCCTTTATCTGTGGCAGCTGTCAGTGTAGAGTACCCACCAGAGCCCTAGGAAAGTGAGAAAGCTTATCTATGGCATCACCCCACATTTCTGAACCTCTCCAACCTCTTACCCTGTGCCTTAATATGTTCAGTATCCTATTGTTCTTAGCCCAAGATACTTATTTCTTCGTCAAACCAAAAGTTTGAGTATGTAATGGCATTTCTTAAAATGAGATCATCAGAGCAAACTTTGTTTAATATAAAGCTATAATGAAACAGCTACGTGAAGAAAAAATGAAAAGCTTTGTTAGGCAAATGTGTTTTTATATTTGATTGGTAGAATATATCCAGAAATAGGGAAAGCCTGCTATTTAGTAACTTAATTAAAATGTAAATAGCATATATCGATATCTTGGGGCATGCTTTCGTTGTACTCAGTTTTTGATGTTTGAAGTCTTTTGGAGTCAATGGCATTTCCAGAGAGATAAATCCTATTTCTCTTACTATACTGTACACTCCTTGAAGGCAGGTACTATGTCTAATATATCGGTTTCTCATAAAACACCTACCCTGTGTTTTAAGAGAAAATATTTGTTGAATATTGTTGGAATGTGTTTCTTCTACACGTGAAGACAGGATTCTTGTCATCTACAACAGAAACACAGCCCCCAAAATGCCCTCACTATTCCTCAGGTCTTAGACCTACTCTTTCCATCATCCTGTAAGGCCCTATTTGCAACTAAGAAGGACATCTACACAAGTCCTTAATTTAAGCATTTTAAACTTTACATTAGTAAAACCAGCTAACTTTCTTTTCATTCAAATCTGCTTCTTTTCTTCTGAACTGGAAAAACACCCTTCTAGGCTCCAGAATCTGCCTCCAGGTCTCAGCAGGACCCTCTGCAATTGCTCTTGTATCCTTTCCATCTTCGCTGCCCTTCTATTATTGCGTCAACCCTGGCTCAAGTCCTTGCTACCTCTTCCCAATGACTGGAATAACGTTTCTTCTCATTCCAGTTCCTTCTTTGCATGGTCCCATTTTAAACACTGCCAGAGCCATCTTTTAAAGCATAGCTCTAGTTTCATCCGGGCTCTTTGTAACCTTCATGGGCTCCCCAGTGGCTTGGCATGGAACACTTTTCCCTCAGGTATCATACACTCCAGCTAACCCCAACCCAGCCTTGCTCGGTTCACACTTTTTTCTCACACTCCTCCACTGCCATTTCTGCCTATTTATTCAAGACTTCTCTGTGAAGCTGATCCTAGTCCTTTTTGTACCCTATTCCTTCAGACTAGATCTAGTCTTTCCTTCCTCTATGCCCTATAACTTTTACCTCCTAAACAAACTTTCTTATGGTGCTAATTACATTCTATCCTTGAGAACAACAACTGTATCTTGTTCATTTGAGATTCCCCTCAGCATCTGGCAGAATGTCTTGCATGCACTGGATATTCAATATTTGTGTGGTGAATTAAATTAATTGTGTTTTGGTTTTTTTTCAGTGCATCCAATGCACAAATATCATTCTGGAGCCTCTGCCACTTTTAATGTTATTTTATAAAGGAAAATCTTATCTATAACTTTTCCCCCTTTAAAAGTGATACCTAATTTCTAGGTTTTTTTTAAAGATAAAGGTGGTAGTAAATTTTCAAAAAGGCTCAATATATCAAATTCCCCTTTTTTGAGGGGAGGAGGGAGGGATGAAGAGGGGCAGCCTTTTATGAGTTGATCATACCATGTTAAGAACCAATCTTGAAATGCTATTGTTTTTTTATTTCTAGAAAACACTTTTTACTTAAAGTGATGTTTTTATCTTATTGTCCATATAGAGATATAGATCCTTTATAAATAAAATGTTAGCATTGTAAATAATGTTAATATGTATTATATTTATACAAAATAAATTCCTATCTACTTTTGGTGTGATGATGTCTTTTAAACCATAATTTTTTAAAGTGTCTTAAGTGTCACATTTAAAGATGAACCACACTGGCCTATTTTCCTGAAGCGTAATTAGGGGATACTCTTCTTCACCCACAAATGATGTTCCCAAGATGGCTTCTACTTCCAAATTTTAGTAAGTCAACATATGGTGCCTTACAGGAATTAATTGGATGACAAGGGGTAACCACAAGCATCACTATAAGCATCCATATTATGCACTGAGAATAGAGAAAAGGTCTCAGATTGCCTTTTTTCTATTGGACCTACAATATATGTTCTTAGCTTTCACCTTTGGGACCATCTTAAAGATTTAGGGGTTTGGAAGGAGGAGGGGCTGCCTTAAAACCACCAAAGATAACAAATGATGCTAAAAGGAAGAGGGGGACTTTTAGAGAATGCGGCATGAAGCATATTTACACTTGTCAGGGATTGTTGCATGCCCTTCTGTGTCTAGTTGCCTCGTTCCAGAGGGAAATGACAGACGCAATGTTCTTCCCAGTGCACCTTTGCTTTTCCTCACTTGGGTTTCTGGCCTGAATACATGACTGCTTTTCTAGTGCTGATCAATACTAAGGAAATTTCCAGGACCCCTCTTAAAAGTCCAAACCACGCAGTGCTTTGCACACAGGGAAGCTCTTCCTGCCACACCTCGATGCCACAGGCAGTCACTATCGGAACGGGATGTCCCTTCAGTGCCTCTTCACTTCATAAATCTTTAGTGACCATCAGGCACTGTCCTAGAGCTCGGAAATACACCGCTGAACAAAAACACCTCCCTTCCCAAAGCTTGCTTTGTAAGGGACTATATTCTTGCTCCATTTAGCCATTATACCTATTTACTTACAAGAATTGATAACCACAACTGCTTTCCTATACAGAATTCTACCCCAGCTTGTTTTACTGAAAGCAATTTTAAATTTTAAATAAAAACTCAAGACTTGTTAGTCCTCTAATAAACCTAACAGTCTAAGGTAAGAGCCTATAATAGAGCCCAGTTTTCCAAAGTTAGAAACCGAACTGTCCAAAACGGATGAGGTTATTATTACTTAAATCTGAAACGTCCCAAAACTTGAACGACCATCTTCGGCAAATAGGCTGCTAAGCGCACGTGACTTCTAAAGGGCCCTTACCGTGACGTGCAGCAACGGCGGGGCAGTCTCCCTCCTCGCCGGTAGGGGACAGTCAACTAGGAAACGCTCGGTTCTCTCATCCCTCCATCCAGGGAACGTCACGGCCTCCTCTCGCCGCTTCTCCACACCACTCTTGCGCAGGCGCGGCCGAGAGGGCGCACCGCAGAGCCGAGAGAGAGAG